TGGCCGTTTACTTTCTTGGGAAACTTTGCTCCAAGTTTTTGGGGTCTGGCCAAAGGCACAGCAGCAATTTTGGGGTATCTGAAAGTCTGACGGTGCCATCAGGCTGCTGACGCACTCACCTCACAGGTAGATTGACCTGGTGGCGGCACCATAACCCTCCCCCCCCCCCCCCCCCCCCACACACACACACTCCTTTTTTACAGATACAGTAAGTTCGAGTACCTTTGAGCATAGTAGAAGAAATGCAGCTTTCCTCCAGCAGGTGGCAGCACGTGTACCACCCTGTAAACTGGGCTCCTACCTGGGCCTGAAACTGATGCTCAGCGGTCTTTGCCCCTCCCCAGAGAAAAGAAGCAACTTGTGAATTGATAAGCCGCGCACAAACATGAAAAGAAAGTCATAAATTTATATATATATATAGAGAGAGAGAGAGAAAGGGAAAATTTCCCACATCAGGAAGGAAACACCAGATGGAACAGCAGCAAGTGTCCAAACCCAGCCCCCCGCACCAGGCAGTTGCTGCCCAAGATGGGCCCCCAGCCTAGACAGGACAGGGAGCAGCAGGTCACACAGCCAGGCACAGAGCAGGGGCTCACCCCCAGGGCCCAGGCCCTGTGTCCACTGGGCTTCCCGGGATCCCTCATGAACCCTCTTGTGACCCTCACCACCTGGGCCAGAATCTCAGAGTGAGGCCAGAAACGGAGATCCACTCATGAGGCCGAGGAAGGCTTGGGTGAGGTCAGGGGCCCATCAAGGAGTCCTGTGTCAATTCGGCCACGAACAAGACCTGCAGACTCGGCAAACTAAGGGTCACTGTCCCACCATATGGGCTGCCAGGGAGCGAACTCCGGTTGGCCATGTGCAAGGCAAAGCCCTCCCCACTGTACTCTCGCTCTGATCCAGCTCTGATCCCTTGAGTGAGGAGAGAGAGCAAGGTATATCCTACTCACTAATCCCAGCTCTTCCTAGCTGTGCATCTTGGTCAAGTTGCAGACCCTCTCTGTTTTGTCACCTAAAAACCCCACATAAATTTAAAATTTTCTTCTACTATTGTTTTTTGGATCACATGTTTTTTGGTGATGCTCAGGGGTTACTTCTGGCTGTGAACTCAGGATTTACTCCTGGTGGGGTGTGGAGCAATAGTACAAGGGGTAGACTGTTTGTCTTGCATGCTGCCAATGTAAGCTTGATCTCTGGCATCCCATTTGGTCCACCGAGGCCACCAGGAGTGATCCCTAAGCAGAGCCAGAAGTTCTGAGCACCACTGGGTGTGCACCTCCCACTTAAAAAAAATAAAAAGGAATTGCTGAATTGCTTCTGGTAGTGCTCAGGGAACCATCTGGGATGCCGGGGACTGGGTTGGCCACATGCTGCACAACCTCTCCAGTCCCTACATTTGCAGTTTTTATGAAGACAAACTGAGATAATACTATAAAGTACTTAGTACTGAACTAGCATACAAAGGCCAATGAAATTTATCTTCTATTACCACATTAATCATTATCCCACCATCATCTCCATCCTCCCCTTCCTTAACTGCTTCATTTCAGCTTCTGGTCCTTCCGAGCTGCTGTCTTAATATGGACAGTGGTAAGTGATACAGATATCGAAACTCATGCAATGGAGCACTTGAGACTTGGGCCTTTCATTATATGGAAATTATATCCCCCCCTTTTTTAATTTTAATACTGGCAGGGCTGGGGCTGAGGGCTTGATTGCCTGGAAGCTGGGTCCCATGACTCCCCTGGCCCTTTCTGTTCCCCAGCTGCTGGGCAGACCAGCCTTTATTCTGAGAGTCCTCGGGATGAGGGGTAGGAGATGGAGACTAAAGCACAATCTTCAGTCTCCTAAAAATGCTTATTTGAGGGGCAAAGGAGACAGTACAGCAGGTAAGGAACTTGCTCTGCACATGACCATCCCTGGTTCCATCCCTGGTACCACATATAGTCCCACGAGGACCACCAGGAGTTGAGTCAGATACAGTTAGTTGGCATCAAAAACAGGGGAAAAAAAGTAAGGCTTTCTTTGATCAAATACAGCTGATAGGCACAGCAGAAGCGGGTTTCCAACAGCCCACAGTAGAAGCGGGTTTCCCGAGGGTATGAGAGGGAGCAGTTCTCCTCACGGGATACTGAGACGTGTGTGGGAGCAGCCCCCGTCTCAGGAAACTGCACATAAGTGTCTTTTGTTTGCTTGGGTGCATTTTGTTCTTCTTTTTTTTCTTCAATAAAATACTCAAATTTTATTCGTTTTAATTTGTACTGAGGCGCTGTGATTTACAAAGTTATTCATCGCTGAGTCTCAGCCGTACAATGTTCCAACATCTATCCCATCTCCAGAGTCAGCTTTCCTCTCTTCCCCTTCCGAGGAGTCCCCAGTCAGCCATCTTGGCAGCGCCCTCCACGTTTCCTTCCCACTCGGCACAGCACATCCTACAGTGGCGTTGCTTCATATTTTCAGTAAGCCCCCAAATTCTAGGACTTTCGCTCTCTGTAGAAACACAACCACACAGCTGCTCGCCTCTGATGACTGTGTGGCCGTGGAATGCCTGACTGAGAGCTTTGTTCCAGGAGCGGACAAGGACCACATCCTGCTGACCCACAGGTGACACTCAAAGTCCTCAACCCCAAGGCTCCCAGTTCCTGGGAGAACACGACTTCCTGAGAGACAAACCCGTTCCTGATTCCTGTCAGAGAAACGTCCTCCTATGTGGAGAACCACAAGGACAGCACCTGCCTCCGTTACCAGCTGAGCTGCATGTTCAGATGATATCACCTTTCCCTCCTAAGACCACTCCAGTTGCTTCTGAGGAAAGATCTGGCACCTTCTATGCCATCTTGGTGAACAATCGTCAATCCAGAGTTCTGTACTTAGGAAAATAAGCCAAGAAGCTCACCTGTGTCTCCTCTGCCTAGCTTAATTCTTAAAACCATAGAACAGCCCGAGGCAGGCACTATCCCTGCCTGGCCAGTCCAGCTTACTTTCCCTCACCTGGCTTTGGACCAAGAAACACCAGGACAGAGGAGTGGTGGAATACGTTTGCCAGTGACAGGTGCCAGGCCAAGGTACTGCCCGTTTCTGGGACTCTCTGAGCGGCCTGACTCCTATCTACTTAAGCTCAGCTCTAGGCTTTCCCTCCACCCCGTGGCATCTACCGCTGCCCCATCTCTTCCCTTTACTTCATTTTGCCTGGGTCCATTTCTGTCGCTAGCCATCAATTAAGCAGAACCAAATACATCTCTCATCCTCAGGGGAAAAAAGAACTTCCTGCTTCCTCTCTCCAGGGGAGTGTAGCATGGGATGCAAAGGCCAAACATGACCCTTCTGCCCGATGAAAATGAACAGCACAAGATTCGTAGCCCAAAGAAAAAGAAGTTTACATTAAGGTACTAATCCTAACCACTATGGGCTGGCAGCATCCGATTGGATCTTAGAAATGTGAGTGCACTTGGTGAGGTGAGGCCACATGTTTGAATAGCGGGGGAGGGGGAGGAGTGGGATTTCAAGTGTTTGTTCAACTCACAAGAAAAACCTAGTGATAGCTTCCCCGATTGCATCACTGCGATTCGTGCTGAGAACACGGTAAGCTCAAGCTCGCTTCTATCACAGAATGCAGGAAAAGATCAGGATGGCCCCGTGTCTCTACTGCCATCCCCTATCTATTTCCAGCTGCACACGGGCTGACCCAGTCTGCCGCTCCCCCCAGGAGTATGGTCAGGACATCTGCTTTGATGGACACCCAGCCCGGGTTTCCCAGAGAAGAGGCACCTCCCACCTGGGGCAAAGGCAGGACATCGAGTGGAGGTCCAGCGTTCAGAGGCTACGTGCAGATCCCAAATCTGTTAAGACTGTGAGACTTAGGCACAGAGCCAGGAATAGGCCCTGAGCCACAACTTATGAAATATAACAATGACTGTGTATTTGTTATATGTAATTCAAAATTATATATATTAGAGTTTCAACCATGCTGACAATCCTCAGGGACTATTCCTGGCTCTGTGCTCAGAAGTGACACCTGGAAGTGCTCAAGAGAACAGATGTGGGGCCAGAGCAATAGCACAGAGGGTAGGGCATTTGCCTTGCACGCGGCTGACCTGGGTTCGATCCCTGGCGTCCCATATGGTCCCCCCAAGCACCGCCAGGAGTAATTCCTGCGTGCAGAGCAGCTAGGAGTAACCCCTGAGCATTGCTGGGATCAGCCACATGGAAGGGCTGACCTGACCTCCTACCTTATCACTCTGTCCCCAAATACATATATAACTGCATAGTTTTTGACCATAATATTTTCGGTTTTTATTTGTTTTGGGTTGTGTTTTTTTTCTTTTTGGGTCACACCTGGCAATGCTCAGGGGTTACTCCTGGCTCTGCACTCGGGAATTACTCCTGACAGTGCTCGGGGGACCATATGGGATACTGGGCATCGAGCCCAGGTTGGCCATGTGCAAGGCAAATGCTCTACCCACTGTGCTATCACTCCAGCTCCTTTCTTTCTTTCTTTCTTTCTTTCTTTCTTTCTTTCTTTCTTTCTTTCTTTTTGCTTTTTGGGTCACACCCAGCAACGTACAGGGGTTCCTCCTGGATTTGCACTCAGGAATCACCCCTAGCGGTTCTCAGGGGACCATATGGGATGCTGGGAATCGAACCCAGGTTGGCTGCATGCAAGGCAAACGTCCTACCCCTGTGCTATTGCTCCAACCCCTTGGCCATAATATTTTCGACCTTGGTGGATGGCAAGTAACTGAAACGGTGAGGAGTAAAACTGCATGTACGGGGAAGCTGCCGTCCGTCTGTGAGGGCTGCTGAGCTAGCTTAGAGTTCACCAAATTCAGTACCTAAACCAGTGTGGGAGACAGCCCACATTCGGTGGCTGTACGTGTGAGTCTCCAGAGCATGCGCCTGAGCCCCTTCCCCCACACCCACCAAAGGAAAGGACGCGGAGGCGATGCCCTCCCTTCACATGGTATTTTATTCTGAGCAGTGGAGGCAGGGGAGGAGTTGGAGAAAGGAAATGTGGGAGTCTGGAGCTCAGGAGCGAGGAGTTTCTGGCTGTCTCCCCGGGGGTGGGCCCAGGGCCCCAGGGGCTCAGATGAGGCCTAGAAGAGAGAAGAGCCAGCTGAGAGGCCTGGGTGAAAATTCCCGCCGTGCATGTGGCCAACCCAATTTGATTCCTGGAACGGCTGAGGAGTGCAGACCCGGAGACACCCCCCCACACACACACACACCCCCGCCAGCACCAGTGGGTGGTCCTGGCGAGCCCCAGCACAGCAAGGCCTAAACACCAGCCTCAGGTCCAGGATTCAACCAGGGACCTGGTGGACCAAGCCCTGCCCGGACACACACAGGGTCTCCTCAGCACCACTTGGGAGCCGCTTCCTCCCAGAGAAAAGATCCACGGAGGGCTAGCGAGTGGGGTGCCGCGGGAAACGGCACTCGAGTCATCTGAACCCCCAGAGTCACATCCGGGAAGCCAGCCAGAGCTGGGGGAGTTGTGGGTTTAGAAGTGAAAAGCCACAAGTGCTCTTCTCGGAGTCCAATGACAGGAAATGGTGGGAACCTCACATGTTCAGCAGACCCAGCCCTGTCAGTAACCACGCCCCGGCCCACTCCTGCCCATCGCCTGCAGCCTGGGTGCTCTAGAGGAGCGTCCCAGAAAGCCTCTAGCCGGCAGTCAGGCACCCTGTGTAGCTCGGAGGGAAGTGGGTCCCGCCCATGGGGCTGGATCTGGTCGGGGCCTGCCACGTATAGAATGGCCTCACCTGAGGACATGTTCTGGACATCAGGACCCTTACACATGGGAACCTGTGCCATTGTCATCCAACGGCCAAGTCATAACCCTTCCTTCATAGATGAGGACCCTGAAGCCAGAGAGCTGAAGATAATTCCCCAGGGGGCTGCACCTCGCCCGGGTTCGAGGAGATACAAGCAGCCCCTCCAACAAACACTAGAAGATGCTTGTTCAAGGTCATATGACTGAGGTGTGATGATGAAGGCCAGATTCCACCTCGGGAGTGTCCGTGTCCAAATGCAAGTTGGTTTGGTATTAGGGAGGTTTTTGTTTTGTTTTGTTTTTTGCTTTTTTTGGGGTCACACCAGGCAATGCACAGTGGCACAGTGGTCACAACTGGCTCTGCACTCAGGAATCACTCCTGGCGGTGCTCAGGGAACCATATGGGATGCTGGGAATCAAACCCGGGTTGGCTGCGCCCTACCCGTTGTGCTATCTCTCCAGCCCCAGGCATTTGGGAGTTTTATTGTTTGATGTTTTGGGCCACCGTGCTCAGGGCTGACTCCTGGCTCTGTGCTCAGGGATCACTCCTGGCAGGACTTGGCAGGTCAAACCCAGTTGGGCTGTGTGCAAAGCAAATATGCTCCCCACTGTACCACTGCCCGGCCCCCGGTTTTGTCTGAACTCCCTTGTCCATGGCCCATCACGGCTCCCAGAGGCTCTTGGCCATGTTGCTGTGCACAGCTGCCACCGGGTGAATATTTTGGAGACCCTCTGACCGGTGTCCACCAACTCAGCCCCCGCACACTTGCTGGTCTGAGGTGCAGGGGCCACAGATAGGCATTTCTGACATACATGTCACGGCTTCTGGGGAGACTGGCCAGGCACCCCCCCCACCCCGCCCTCTCACTGACCTGCAGATTTGCACATCTTAATGTCCACACAGACTTCGGAGGCACTCTTGCCAGCCATGATGTCCTGGACAATGACTTTTAAAAATGTCTTTATGAGAATCCTGCAGGGGACTTTCAGCAAGCCCATCTTGCCACACACCTGGGACGCGGCCTGGCTGATGGACTCCTGCAACAGCAGTACCACGTGTGGAACATGGGTCAGGTGGCTCCTGCCCCCTGTCGCTGCCCCCCTGAGAGCTACTGCAGCCTGGAAGCAGAGTCTTCAGAGAGAGGACGCCAGCCCACACCTCGTCACAGGTCCCTGTCCCAAGCTGGTGCTCCTGAGAGGACACTTGGTCCTGCCAGGGTTTCAGTCGCTCGGCACCTGCCACTCACACACATGAAAACCACACACAGACTCACACACATGCATGTGTCATGCAGAGACATACAATATGCGTGTAGACACGAATGCCGATATATACATGTATCCAGGAGGCACACACATGTGCATATACATATGCACACGACATGCACACAGACATACACACATGTGCACACACACACCCACGCACACCCATGCACACACAGACGCATGTGCACTCTCGCATATGCCCATGCATGCACACACGTACATACACACACATGCACACACACGTGCCTCCGCTGCACTGCACACCAGCCCCACAGGCTCACCTTGCTGGCCTCGGTCCCCACCATGTTCTCCAGCTTCTGTATCGTCTTCTTACAGGACGTACAGCGGAAGCCCACATTCCATCTTTCGGCCAGAAGATTGTCCTGTCAGAAAAGGACACCCTTGGACTCGGGCCCACAGGCCCTGTGAAGAAAGGGCCCCTGGAGATCGGAGACCAGCAGGACCATCTGCAGCTTTTCTGCCCTGAAGGACTTGAACCATCTTCCTGCTAGTCTGAGGGTGACCGAGAGACCCCATCTTTTCCAAAGCAGCCTCTCCCCCTCTTCTGTTGCCTGTCCAGGCCTGGCGGACCCTCTCAGGACAATGGGGCCCCTCGGGCCGAGGCACACAGAACCAACCCAGTTTCTCCTGCCCAGCCCTGCCCACCACCTCCTGCCACCCCATGCCCCCGGGCGAGGAAGAGGACCACAGGCAGAAGCCAGGCGGGTACCTGGAGCAGCTCTGCCTCACTCAGACCCAGATCCAGGTCCGCAGACTCGGGGTCCAGACCAGAGACGGCCAGTCCTGGGGAGACAAAGCAGCAGGGAGGGGACAAAGTCGGTTCTCTGTCGGGTGCGAGAGGAGAGGCTGGGAAGGCTCCTCGTGATGCCTCATCCCACACTTGCCCTCAGCTTCTCATGCTGTTCAGGAGGAAGGTTCTCTCACACAGCCCTCTCTGTCTGTCTGTCTGTCTATCTCACCACACACACACACACACACACACACACACACACACATATTGGGCTTTGATCTAGAAGGAAAGTTCCCTCCTCTTTTCAAGAGATTAGCTTCCAGGGGCTGGAGCAATAGCACAGTGGTAGGGCGTTTGCCTTGCACGTCACCGACCCGGGTTCGTTTCCCAGAATCCCATATGGTTCCCCGAGCACCGCCAGGAGTAATTCCTGAGAGAAGAGCCAGGAGTAACCCCTCCCGAGAGGGGAGGCTGGGATGTGACCCAAAATCAAAAGTGACCCAGCATCGCTTGGTGTGACCCAAAAAAGGAAAAAAAAAAGATTAGCTTCCAGAGCTGGAGCGACAGTGCAGTGGGGAGGGCACTTGCTTTGCATGAGGCTGACCCGGGTTTCATCCCTAGTATCCCACCTGGTCCCCAGAGCACTGCCAAGAGTGAACTCTGAGTATAGAGCCAGGAGTAAGCCCTGAGCACTGTGCTGGATGTGGCCCATGAACAGAGAGAGAGAGAGAGAGAGAGAGAGAGAGAGAGAGAGAGAGAGAGAGATATTAGCTTCCCTTTTTGTCTTCCTCCCCCAAATATTTCCTGTCACACAGCCCACCCCAGCCCACACTCCTTTCCAGAAACATCCTGACCTTCAAAGAACCCTTCAGTGTTTCTGCAGACCCCTGGCACTGGGATTGGGCATCATCAGGGTGCATGAGAAGGAAGCAAGTTTGCACAGGGGACCCCCGCTTGCTCCCAGGCACCATCAGAGTCTGAGCCTGTGGTCCCCAGAAGAAACCAGGCCCGCGGCCGAGTGCAATGACTTCGGGATGCGGATGACAAGTTTGCTTCTAGTGGGGTTCACTGAGACCAAAAATTTAGGACTAGAAAGTCCTATTCCCAATCCCTTGGGAGGAGCACTTTACCTGGGGTAATCAGGAATGCCGAGACCAGGAGCACAAGAGCCCAGAGGGTCATGGTGGGGCAGAGAAGGCTGCAGGGCGCGCCGAGGACTCAGGAGGAGCAAACAGGCCTGGGGCTGCCGCGTCTGTCTCACTCAGGCTTCTGCCTTTGCCCCCCTGTCGCCCCTGGAGGTCTTCACACAACATGTGACGACCGGAAGGTGACTCACTTGTCTCATGTGGCTGTACAGATAGTGCCTGGGGTTTTGAGGGCCGCAATGATGTCATTAGTCACAAGCTTCCACACAGGCCCTAGGTCCCACGTGGAGAGAACACCTGGGTGGTTCCTCCCTTCTTCCTGCTTTTGGGATGCCCCAGACTGGCCCTTTGCAGGTCAAGCCCTCCCCTTCCCCTCCAGCCTACACATACACACACACACACACACACACACACACACACACACACACACGCTGGCTTCCTCATGAAGGCTATCACTTTCCTTGACTTCAAGAAGTCTTGGCTTTCTTCTGGGAGCTTCACCACCATTTGAACTTGGTTTGGGGTCTGTGACCCACCTCCGAAGAGCTGGGTTGGAATTCTGTTTCAGATGAATTTGTTGAAAGACTTTGCTTTTCTCATTGACTTCATGGCTTTGGCACCTTTGCCAAAACTCAATTGGTTCTATAAATGTGGACGTATTTGTGGAAGCTTTATTATAGTGGGTCCTAGTGAAATCATATGAACAAAGCCCTCTGATAGTTCTGATATTTTTTTAAATAGGCACAATATTTGAACACTTAAAATAGTTCCTTTCTTCCCAAGAGAAGAACAGTCAGCAGCCAGAGAGGGTACAGGGATAAGGCATTCACTCTGCATGTAGTTGACATCAGTCCCATCCCCAGCACCATGGACAGTCCCCTTCGCACTGCCAGAAACAATGCCTGAGCACAGAGATACGAGTAAACCCTGGCCACACCAGGTGTGGCCAAAAAAACAAAGAAACAGATGGACAAACAGAGAACAGTAAAAATAGGCATTTGAAACAGTACTCAACACTGAAGGTCTTGGGGGGAAAATTCCATTAAAACAACAATGACGGGCTGGAGCAATAGCACAGCGGGTAGGGCGTTTGCCTTGCACGCAGCCAACCCAGGTTCGATTCCCAGCATCCCATATGGTCCCCTGAGCACCTCCAGGGGTAATTCCTGAGCGCAGAGCCAGGAGTAACCCCTGTGCATTGCCGGTTGTGACCCAAAAAGCCAAAAAAAAAAAATGACATGAGGGCGCGAAAATGTCTGGTGGAAGAGGAGAGACCCCAAAAGTCTGCATGCATGCAGGAGGCCTGGGGTCAATCCTTGTCACTCTCTGGGCCCCAAGCACTTTGAGGAGCACCCCGCACGAAGGAACTAGGATGTGGCCCCCAAATCAAAAAACAAACTCAGAAACAAATCAATTTGGTGGTTGTCAGTGGCAGTGGGTGGGGGTTGGGGGGATTGGATGAAGGGGCTCAAAGGGTACAAACTTCCTGCATGTTCTGGGCATGGCACAGGCAGCATGGGGACCATGGTCAGTAACACTGTGTTGCGTGCTGAAACATTTTTCAGATCAGGTCAGGTCAGAGCAATAGTGCATCTGCCTTGCACATGGCTGACCTGGTTCGATCCTATTACCATATATATTCTCCTGAGCACCTCTAGGAGTGATTACTGAGTGGAATGTAAAGCCAGGAGTAATCCCTGAGCATTTCTGGGTGTGGCCCAAAATCAGAAAGAAAAGTTATTTTGAGTTGGGACTGGAGCGATAGTACAGCAGGTAGGGCATTTGCCTTGCACGCGGCCGACCTGGGTTCGATTCCCAGCATCCCATATGGTCCTTCAAGTACTGCCAGGAGTTATTCCTGAGTGCAAAGCCAGGAGTAACCTCTGAGCATCGCCAGCTGTGACCCCCCCCCCCACAAAAAAACCCAAAGGGTTTTTTCCTTAATTTTTTATTAACAAAAATTAATATATTTTGTTTTATTTTGGAGCCGTACCCATTGGTGCTCAGAACTAATTCCTGATTCTATGCTCATGAATCAATCAGGGCCAGAGTCGGCTACATGCAAGGCAAGCAGCTTAACCTCTGTACTATCTCTCTGGCACTTAAGAGTTCTTATCATGGGGCTAGAGTGATAGTACAGCAGGTAGAATGGTTGCCTTGCACGTGGCCGACCCGGGTTCAATTCCCAACATCCAGTATGGGCTCCAAGCACTGCCAGGAGGGATTTCTGAGTACAGAGCCAGGAGTAAGCCCTGAGCAACATCTGTTATGGCCAAAAAGAGAGAGAGACAATGCCTCTTTTGCAGACCACCACACCCAAAAGGAGAGAGAGAACAAAAGGGAATGCCCTGCCACAGAGGCAGGGTGGGATGGGCGGTATGAGGGTGGGAGGGATATTATCCATGGTGGTAGAAAATGGACACTGGTGAAGGGATGGGTATTTGATCATCGTATAATCGAAACCCAAGCACAAAAAGTTGTAAATCTACAACTGTACTTCATGGTGTTTCACTAATAAAAATAAGAGAGAGAGAGAGAGAGAGAGAGAGAGAGAGAAGGTTCTAATCACAAGAAACAGATCTATAGCTAAGAGTAATGAGAGATATTCAGTTATTCAGTTTATGGTAATGATTGTATACTTGGCTATGTAATCAAACACCAAATCATTACATTTTACACCTAAACTAATATCAAGCCAATCACATCTGTTTTAACATGATTAATAGTACCTACTGCAAGAAATTAAAAACCGTGTTAAATATTTGATGCCAAGAGAAGGGGGAAAAAGACACCCCCAATTGCTGATAAGGACATGGAGTGACCAGCCCTCTGAACACTCTTGGTGAGAGGATAACACAGAACAACCACTTTGGTGCTGACCCAGGAGTTCTCCGAGGCATGAAACTCACACTCGGGTGCTCCAGACCTGCAGGGCCACTCTGACCTTGTCACTCTCACTCAGGGAAGGCACCTGCACACACACACACACACACAGAGGCGAGTCAAGAAGTCAAGATGCTCACAGAATGGTATGACTGGAACCCAATCACAAACTATTTTGTAATTGCATATCTCACAGTGAGTAAAAAATAAATAAATAAATAAATAAATAAATAAATAAAATAGGGTCAGAGTCATAGTACAGCGAGTACAGCACCTGCCAGGCATGCGACTGATGGGTTCGATACCCTGAGTAATTTCTGAGGGCAGAGCCAGGAACAAGTCCTAAGCACTGCCAGATGTGGCCCTGAAACAAAACTAAATAAATCAAATAGAAATAAAATATTCACAGAAGATGGGCCCAGAAAATGGCCACATCGGCCGAGATTAATACCAGGAGTTTTGCTCCATGGCTTGGAGGCCAGCCACACATTCTAGGGAAAAAGGGAGCTCAGATAGAGAAAGGAGCACCAAATAAAGGGTGTTGGGAGGATCCTCCCAGGATGGAAAATGCATGCTGAAAGTAGAATATAGACCAAACATGATTGCCACTCAATGCCTCTTTTGCAAACCACAATACCCAAAAGGAGAGAGAGAACAAAAGGGAATGCCTTTTGTATACAGAGGTATACTGGGACCCGTGGTGGTGAAAAATGGGCACTGGTGGAGGAATGGGTGTTTGATCATTGTATAATCGAAACCCAAGCACAAAAATTTGTAAATCTACAACTGTACCTCATGGTGTTTCACTAATAAAAAATTTTTTTAAAAAGAAAGAAAAAAAGAAAAAGGACACATCTAGTTATATGTCCAAGAGTTGGAAAGAGTGACTCAAATAGATATCTGTAATGTCCATCAGTACTCATAGCAGCTTCACTCACAATAGCCAGAAGAGAGAACAATCCATACACAGATGACTGGATAAAGAAAATGGAGCTTACACTTACAATAAAATGTTAAGGGCTAGAGCGATAGCACAGCGGGTAGGGCATTTGCCTTGCACGCGGCTGACCTGGGTTCGATTCCCAGCATACCATATGGTCCCCCGAACACCGCTAGGAGTAATTCCTGAGTGCAGAGCCAGGAGGAACCCCTGTGCATCGCCGGGTGTGACCCAAAAAGAAAAAAAAATGTTATTCAGTCATTTGAAAAAAAGGAGAGACTGGGACTGGGGAGAGAGTTCAGCTGATAGGGCAGGCACTGACCCTGCCTGTAACTCATCCCGGCCCGATCCAGCACTCTACATGCCCCTAAGTCCTCTCAGGACTGATCCCTGAGCACAGAACCAGGAGTAATACCCGAGCATCGCAGGGTGTGGCATTTAATAGGAAGTGAAGGAAGGAGGGAGGGAGCCAGCCAGGCAGGAAGACTGACTACAATCCTTATGATTCCATTTACATTATCTTAGAGCAGGAGCCCAGAGTTAGGTGACGAGAATAAAACTGAAGTAAAGACAGAGGACCTTCAGCCAAGAAAGAGTCCAGGAGAAAACAGAGGATGAAAGCGTCAGAAAGCCAAGATCTTGTCAGGATGCATTTCAGCAGGTCACCTGCAATGACACTAAAGAATGGCTGCTCTTTTTTTTATATATATAATTTTATTTATTGAATCACCATGAGAGCAGTTACAAAGCTTTCGGGTCTAAGTCTCGGTCATACAATGAAACACCCATACCTTCACCAGTGCCCATTCTCCACCACCAAAAACCCCAGTATGCCCCCATCCCACGCCCTCCCCTTACCTGTGGGGCAGATGATTTCCATATTACTCTCTCTCTACTTTTATCACATTCAATATTTTGACACCAAACCCACTATTATTATTTGAGATTTTACCCCAACACTCAGATCTGCTGAAAAGGCAACAGTAGACAATTTGTGTTCTATGTCTGGTTATGAATAACATGATGTCGCATGGCTGCAGTAGGGCCACATGATTTTGAAATTCCGAATTTTTTTTAAACACCATGAGGTACAGTTGTAGATTTACAATTTTTTGTGCTTGGGTTTAGATTATACAATGATCAAATACCCATCCCTCCACCAGTGCCCATTTTCCACCACCATGGATAATATCCCTCCCACCCCCATCCCTCCCATCCCACCCTGCCTCTGTGGCAGGGTGATCCCTTGTGTTCTCTCTCTCCTTTTGGGTGTTGTGGTCTGCAACCTGCTGGGTTTCCTCTCTGGGGTGGCCCAGTGACAGTAACGTACTGTGGGGTCCGGATGCATTTCTGCCAAAAGCCACTGGGGTTTGAGATTTGTTTCTGAGTCTCTTGGATCATGGCCGTTAAGCAGCTTGATCAGGAGCCAGAGAGGCCATTCGTGGGCGATGACTTGGGGTCTCGTTGGGGCGGGGAGGACAAGCCCGGCTCCACCCCATCCCGTGAGGCCCTGTGTGTCTCGTCACTGAGGGCCCAAATGTGACTCTCCAGTGGCCTCAGACGGATGGCGGCCACTGGGCCGCCAGGGGGAACAGGCCAAGGCACAAAACCTATTCCCACCTGGGTTGGCCCAGCACCGGTAGTCTACTGCAGAGACCGGACGCATTTCTACCTAAAGCCACTGGGTTCCAAGATTCGTTTCTAAGTCTCTGGGATCATGGCCATTAAGCAGTTCAATCAGGAACCAAAGAGGCCTTGCCTCCAATTATATAGCTGAGCCGGAGGTGGTTTGTGGGTGTGTTTCCCACATACCTAACTTTTGGCCGTTTACTTTCTTGGTAAACTTTGCCCCAAGTTTTTGGGGTCTGGCCAAAGGCACAGCAGCAATTTTGGGGTATCTGGAAGTCTGAAGGCGCCATGAGGCTGCTGATGCACTCGCCTCACAGGTACAGATTGACCTGCTGGCGGCACCATACCCCCTTTTCTTCTTTTTAAAAGTTTATTTATTTATTTAGTTTTTGCTTTTGGGGTCACACCCAGCGATGCGTAGGGGTTATTCCTGGCTCTACACTCAGGAATTACTCATGGCAGTGCTTGGAGGACCATATAGGATGCTGGGAATAGAACCCGGGTCAGCCGTGTGCATGGCAAACACCCTACCTGCTGTGCTATCACTCCAGCCCCCACATTTAAGCCTTAAAAAAAAAAGAGTAGGGGCTAGAGAGATACCCCAGTGGGTAGGGCATTTGCCATGCACACAGCTGACCACCCCGGGTTCGATTCCCAGCATTCCATATGGGCCCTCCGAGCACCGTGACGAGTAATTCCTGAGTGCAGAGCCAAGAGTAAGCCCTGAGCATTGCTGGGTGTGACCCAAAAAGAAAAAAAAAAAGTAAAAACTTTCCCCAGGTATAGCAACCTATAGTCGGCTGGGAAATATACCCTCATTTCCTTGTCTCTCACCACATTGGTCAGGGTAAGACTTCACCCCTCGGTCTGCAGAGAGCTCAGAGGGATGCAACATGAGGGCCCCCATGCACGAGGCCCCAGATTCAAACCCCGAGCACGGCCAGGTGTTGCCCAGGGACCCAGGCACCTCTGGGCCCCAGCACTGAGTTTGTCAGGCCCGCACAGTCTGACCAAATCCCCAGGCCCAGGCCCTGCTGGGAACCCCCGCCCCTGAGAAGAAAGAGCTTCACATGTTCAGCACACTGCCCCTTCAGCCTCACGTGCAGCCGCTGACCTGCAGGTCGGGTGCTGCGACAGGCCTGATGCTGAGGCACGTCCCGCCCCCCCAGAGACCCACAACCTCAATGGCTCCGGGCTGCAATGGTGAGGGGCCCTCAGCTCTCTGGATTTCCGGGCTGGGAGGTGGCCGGCACAGACAGGTTCCCCAGGTACTGGATGAAGCGTCCCTCTCCATGTTTACTCAAGGACACTCTGTCCTTGGGACCTGGACAAGGGTTGGTGGGGGGAGTGGTGGGAGGGGGGCACAGAGCCATAGTGTAGTGGGTAGGACGTTGGCCTTGCACATAGCCAACCTGGGTTCAATTCCTGGCACCCCAGTGGTTCCCCGAGCACCGCCAGCGGTACTTTCTGTGCAGATCCAGGAGTAGACCCTGACCACATCTGTGGGTGTGACCCAACACAAACTACAAAAAAACAACCAAACAAACAAAAAACACTCAGGTCCTGAGAGCAGGGGGCAGGGCAGGAAGCTGAGCCACCCACCCCCCTCAACCAGCCAAACTCCTCTGGGCTGCAGCCTGCGGGAGAAGCCGCCCAGAAGCCAGACAGCCTGCCCAGGAGATGAACCGCATCTCCCAGGCCTCCAGCCACCACCCTGTCCTGCGCTGCCTGTCCCCAGCCCAACTCCTCACTGTGCCGCGCCACACGCCGCCACGTCCTCCTCAGGGCTGTGGCCGAGTTCCCAGTCACAGATTCACACTCAGGTTCACACTCTGGCAGATGCTCTTTTTCCACTTAACCGAAGTCTCACGTAGACACGACATGTGGCCTCTGCAGAACCACCTCCTGCCCACCCACACACCCTCCACTGTGTTCCACAATGGCAACTGTGTGTGTGTCACTCCACCAAGGCAGAAACAATGAGAACTGCTGTGTGACCGTGAGTGGGTCCCTGGCGGTCGTGGTGCTCATCCAGGCCCTGCCCACACTCCGAGCACTGCAGCTGGAGAACTTGTGCAGAGAAGTGATTCAGTGGCCAGACGGACTGGGCACCTGAGGTGAGGCACCAACACTCCTCAGCCTCCTGTGCAGCCAGGCCTGAGGTGCATCTTCTCCTGCACCAGCAGTTGCCCCACAGCCCCTTCACCCCATCATAGAGGGGCCTGGGGCCACGGGCAGCCCCCCATCCCACATCCCTGCCTCTGTGTATCTCTGACTCTGAGGGCGTTTGGATTTTTTGGGGGGGTCGCACCCGCACCCGGCGATGCACAGGGGTTACTCCTGGCTCCTGCACTCAGGAATTATTCTTGGTGGTGCTCAGGGGACCATATGGGATGCTGGGAATCGAACCCGGGTCGGCCACGTGCAAGGCAAATGCCCTACCCGCTCTGCTATTGCTCCAGCCCCTGTTTGAATATTTTGTTTTCCCAGTTGCCTGTAGTTAACTTGTAACTAATGGCAACCAAGTGCCCACAAAACCAAGGAGCTTCCTGGGGAATTAAGGGGTCCCTGGGGGTCGGGGTTTGGCCTCCGGTGCTCAGCCTGGTTGAAGGGCCAGGCAGGAAGCTCTTGCGAGCGTTGCTCAAGAGTGGAAGCGGCCCAAGAGGCCAACTGGGGGAGCACCAGGAGGGCGTCACGGGGGCCACCTGGTCCTGCCTTAGTTTCCCTCCCGTAACCCAGAGAGAGGGGATGAGATCTGGAGGTTCAGAAATCCCGGTGTCTGAGGCGGCCGCAAGTCCAGGTCCAGAGGAGTGAAAGCAGGGGTGAAGGGAGCAGGGAGGGGGCGCTGGGGGACCAGAGGGCCCCTGCCGGGAAGGGGCGGGGCACAGCACCTGGAGGGCTCTCCAGGCCAAGGCAAACACTGGGGCGGCCTGCCCTGTCCCCCACCCCCACTCCCAGATAAAAGGGCTCCCACCCCAGACCAGGTCCAGACCAAGGAGGCGCCATGGCCAAGCCAAGCCTGTTCCAGCTACTGCTGCTGGCCACGCTGTGCGGCCTGGGCTTGGGCGAGGGTGAGTGCCCAATGCCCCCAGCTGGGCTCCTCCCTTCTGGGTCTAAACCCCTGAGGGTCCCTGCCTGGCTCCCAGTCACTGGGGGGTGGGTTTGGTAACGGGGGCAGGGGAGCTCGGGGCATTTGCCGTGGCCTGGATCCATCCCAAGGTTGCTCTGGCCCCAAACCACAGTTGCAGGGACGCCCTCATCACCCACTGCCTGTGCCGACGGACCCAAATTCTGGTGCCAAGGCCTGGAGCAAGCCCTGCAGTGCCGGGCCCTGGGCCACTGCCTGCGGGAAGTGTGGGGACATGCGGGCTCCGTGAGTAACCCCAGGGACCGGGGAGCCCCCATGGGCGAGGGGATGGCTGGGGGCGGTAAGGTGGGGCAGGGGGGGCTGGGAGGGAGAGGAACAGCGTGGGCTGGGACCACTGCAGCCAGCGCCAGCCTCAGGCGCCCACGGGGGTCCCCACAGGATGAGCTGTGCCTGGAGTGCAAGGCCCTGGTGCCCATCCTCATCAAGATGGCCAAGGAGGCCATTTTCCAGGTAAGGCCACGGAGCTCCTGGACACAGAGGGGACGGGGCAGGGCTGGGGTGGTGCTCTGCCTACTGATGGCTGGAGGCTGGTAGGAAGCAGCGCCATCCAGGTGGGCTTCCTGGAGGGGGAAGGGGCCCTCGAGTTCCACCCCTGCATCCCTGGAACTTCTAGAGGCTGGAGTGGCCCTGGGGAGGCCAGGCTGACCGTCCCCTTTTATCCCTGCTGGCTCCCAGAACAAGATGCGCAAGTTCCTGGAGAACGAGTGTGACCAGCTGCCCCTGAAGCTGCTGGTGCCTCAGTGCCACCATCTACTGGACTTCTACTTCCCCATGGTCATCAGCTATTTCCAGAACCACATCGTGAGTGCCCTGCCCTCTCCTCCCAAGTGTCCGGGGGACCCCCACACCTACAGCCACTGGCACCCGTGGGCTCACACACCGTCCCCCCACACACACACACACTCACGCGTCCGGTGCACACGCTTCACGCCCATTCTCCCAAGCACACACCATACATGCACATGCCTGCTCAGTCTCCTGTCCCATGCCGCGCCCTTTGCTGCCTCACCCCAACACTGTACTCCAGCTGCAGCCTGCACCATCCCGGTCCCTGACTGAGCAGAGGGGGTCCCTCTCACTCACCGCCTTCTCCCCTCCATCCCCCCCATGTCCCAGAACCCCCAGGCCATCTGCGAGCACCTGGACCTGTGCCAGTCCGAGACCACTGGGTCGCCGGAGCCGGGGCAGGAGCTGGAGCTGTTCCCCGGGTTGCTGGATCAGCTGGCCCTGCCCGCACTCCCTGGGGGCCTCCTCCTCAAGGCAGGGCCTCACACACAGGTGAGGGAGCTCCACCCCACCCCTCGCCCCAAAGGCAGGGGAGTTAGGGGGGGCAGAGGTGGGACACTGGAGCGGCCCACTTGGGGCAGGGCCCCAGGAGGAGGCGAGGGAGGCGGCGGGGGTCCAGGGGCGCAAAGCTGGAGCCATCTGAGGGTGATGCCCTGACATCACCACCCCACCCCCCAGGATATCTCCGAGCGCAAGTTCCCCATCCCGCTCCCCATCTGCTGGCTCTGCAAGACGCTGCTCGGGCGGATTCAGTCTGCAGTTCCCAAGGTAGGTCCCAGACACCCCCGCCCAGCAGAACCCCCCTCGGGACTCGGGACTGAGTGTGCCGCTCAGTGGGGAACCCCCAGTGCAGCTGGCAAGGGCTGGGGGCCAGAGGGCAGTTCCAAGGGCTGGAGCACGTCTGAGCACGTCTTAGCACCTACCGGGCCGGGGTGTCCTGGCCCCAGAACAACAGCAAAGGCCCAGGCAGAGGAGCGGCAGGGCTTTACTATTCCAAAGAAGAACTTCCCTAGATGGACGCCCACCCCTCCCTCCCCCCCCCCCCATTCACGCCAGACTCACAGTGACCACTGCCAGTGGCCCCCAGAGCCCAGGACTGCCTGAGCAAGGAGCCTTGGCGAGGACCCAGGCCTCTGGTCCCGGCTGCCCGCACCTGCCTGGTGCCAGAGGGACTTCTGCAGAGAAGCCCAGGATGAGAATGCAAAAGGGTAGCTGGTGGACAGTAAGGGCAGAAGGGGCTGAGCTAGGACGGGACGCGGGGCCTAGGCGGCAGACAGGACCCTCTGAGCACAGGAACCAGGGCACTAGAGAGGAAACGCGTGATTCCCTGCCGTGGGCACCTGCAGGGACACTGGGCTGCCATGTGCTGCGATGCGCCTGGGACAGGGCCGGCTTAGCGTGCTTGCCTCACACACGCCGAGCAGAGCTGGATCCCCAGCATCCCATATGGTCCCTGAGCCTTACCAAGAGTAACCCCTGAGTGCAGAGCCAGGAGTAAGCTCTGGGCACCGCCTGGGCTGGCCCCAAAATCATAAAAGAAGAGCAGAGAGCACTGAGCTTTCAGGAAAGACCATGTTCGGGGGTACGGGACTCGGGGTTTCTGGTCACGGGCAAGATGTGAATCCAAAGAACCGTGTGGGGTCCTGGGGCCCCATGTGGGCAGCAGGAGGGAGGAAGTACCCTGGGCAAGCAGAGGCACAGGGAAGGGGCACCACGGCCCAAGGCCCCCAGAGGCCAGCAGGAAGGGGAAGGAGGGTTCGTCCGTCATGCACAGGGGCTGGCGCTGCCCACAGTAGGGCCAGACCGGAGCGAACAGAGGCTGAGGAGACCTGGAGCTGGACGGAAGCCCCCAGGGACGGGGCTCTGGTCGGACGGAAGGAGAATAGAAGTTCTGAGAAGGGGAAAGCTCATCCCACACTGACAGACCCGGGCAGGTGGAAGCAAGGGCCTGTGACAGCAAGGACACCCATGTGGCACAAGGCAGGAGGCCGCGGGCACCCGGGTGGAGGCCCCCAGGCCTGCCTGGGGCAGCACCTCCCCCAGCACCCCCCTCAGCCCATTCCTCCCTCCCCTGCCGGGGCTGAAAGGCCAGCCTGGATGGAGGCATTTGAGGGGGTGAACCCCAGCGGTGCTCCTGGGTTAGTCCTGGCTCTGGGCTCAGCAGTGCCAGGAAGATGAAGGTCTTGGGTCAGGCTCTCTAGGCCCCAGAGGGAGCCCTGTCTATACACTGGTTGGTGCTGGAGTGAAGAGTCGAGAAGGGAGGGGGGGTAAGCTCTTCGCTCCACTCCCATGGGAAGGGAAGTGCGGGGCCCTCCTTGTTTGCGGGGGGCTCCTGAAGAGCCACAGGCAGAAGCAGTTACCTCTGGGTGGGGGTACTGCCAGCCCCGGAGCAGCAAGGGGTAGATAGGACCTGCCCCAGGACACCCTTCTCGTATCTGGGGAAATCCGGAGACTCTGAGTGAGAAGTGGGTGTGGTTCCTGCACCCACAGAGTAATACCCGATGAGTCCCTGGACAGACTGAAGCCGTGACCTCTCCTGTAAGGGAATACCCTGCTAGAAGGGGCCCTCTACAAAGTGCCTGGGTGCTGGGCCAGGAAGGGCTGGCGAGAGACTCAGGGCTGAAGTTTCTTGCCTGTGGGAGAGTCTGGAATGTCCACACGGGCCCCTGAGCACTGCCAGGAGCTGCCCACAAGCCTGGAGCCAGGGGTGGGCCAGGGAGCTGGAGTTTGGGCTGGTCACGGCCCGACCTGCCCTCTTTCGCCCTCCACAGGGGGTGCTGGCCCAGACCATGACCCGGGTATGCCACATGGTACCCCTGGTGGCTGGAGGCATCTGCCAGTGCCTGGCCGAGCGCTACACGGTCCTCCTCCTGGACGCGCTGCTGGGCAAGACGCTGCCCCAGCTGGTCTGTGGCCTCGTCCTCCGCTGCTCCAGAGAGGACAGCATAGGCTCAAGTGAGTCGGCCAGTCCCGCCCCGCCCTGCTCGCCCACTCCAGGACACCCCGGCCTCTGCAGGCTCAGCCCTTCTGTGTCCCTCTGTAGCCCTCCCTCCGCTGGGGCCCCCGCCGCCGCCGCCGCCGCAGCCGCCGGCAGAGTGGCTACCACATAACTCCGACTGTCACCTCTGCATGGTTGTGACTGGAAAGGCGATGAACATCATTGGGCCTCTGCCCCAGGCCCTGCACCAAGCCTGCTTCGACTTCGGGCTGGATCAGCTGAAGGTTTGGGGCGGCTGGGGCGGCTGGGCTGGGGGCCTGCTCGGGAGGCAGGTGGGAGTCTGCTGTGGGGACCGGCATGCATCCCTACGGGGAAAGAGTCCTCATGAGCTTTGAGATGAGCAGCCCCAGGGCAAGGAGCAGGAGAGGGACACTGGCGTTCCCCTCCTGGGGTGACTCCCTGGACAGAAACCCACCTGCACCAGCCAGGCTTCTCTGGAAGTTCCAAGGGGCCAACCGCAGGGAGGGTAAGTTTCCTCCATGACGTCAGGCCTGGCAGAAGCCTTCGGACACCGCTGCACTGCACGCCCTGCTCATGCTCCTCACTCAGTGCTCCCTCTGCGCACGCAGAGGGTGGATGGACTTAAGAAGTTTTGCCTAGGGGCTGGAGTGATAGCACAGCCAACCGGGGTTCGAGTCCCAGCATCCCATATGGTTCCCTGAGCACCACCAGGAGTAATTCCTGAGTGCAGAGCCAGGAGGAACACCTCTGCATCGCCAGGTGTGACCCAATAAGCAAACAAACAAACAAAAAAGTTCTCCCTAAATGCCCAGAAGCCAGCGCGAAGGCTTATGACACTCGCCCAGTCATGGGTTCACCCACTGAGGGGGTCAGGACAGTCCTGCTGTTTTCTACACTGAGGAACCAGAAGGTGACTTCGTGGTGTGGAGCACTGGCCCGGTGGCACTAGCCCCTACCCAGGGGATCCTGAGCCCCCCGCAGGCTCTCTTTTGGGTCCCTGCTTGGGAGAAATGGAATGTCCTCAGAGCAGAAGGGGAGGCTCTTCCCAGGCCCGAGAGCTAGCACAGGGCTTCAGGCACCGGCCTTGCATTCGACTGACCCTTCTGCTCCCCGGCACCACCTGACCAAGACCAAAATTGCAAGTACTGCTGAGGTGGTCCAACACCCTCACCTCCACCCCCAGCCCCCTAAAAATGTCCCAAGTGCCTGGCTTGCCCAGCAGAGACCCTCCGCTTCAGCCCTCCAGCTCATTCTGTCTCCTTGCAACCAACAGCTGCCTTGCAATGGGGAAGGGGGAGGCAGCCAGGAGGGAGACCCTCTGGCCGGGACCCCCGCAGCCCCGCAACCCTGTCTGTCTCCCTCCCCAGTGCCAGATGTTCGTGACACAGCACATGGTCCAGCTGGAGAGCATGCTGTTCCAGGGCTGGGACAACTGCTCCATCTGCCAGGTACGCCCGCGCCCTGAGATCCTCCATCCCCAAGGCCCTGGGCTAAGTCTCTGTCCCTCTCACACTCTGTCTGTGTAAAGAAGCACCTCAGAGGGATGAAGAAAGAGTCAAGAGTCGGAGAGAGGGGCTGGAGTGATAACACAGCAAGTAGGGCGTTTGCTTTGCATGCGGCCGACCCAGGTTCGATTCCCAGCATCCCATATGGTCTCCCGAGCACCACCAGGATTAATTCCTGAGTGCAGAGCCAGGAGGAACCCCTGTGCATCACCAGGTGTGACCCAAAAAGCAAAAAAAAAAAAGTGTCGGAGAGAGAGCCCAGGGGTGAAGTCGCTGGCCTGGCACCCAGGAGGCCCTGACTCCCTCCCCGGAAACACGGAAGGAAGGAAGGAAGGAAGGAAGGAAGGAAGGAAGGAAGGAAGGAAGGAGGGAGGGAGGGAGGGAGGGAGGGAGGGAGGGAGGGAGGGAGGGAAGGAGGGAGGGAGGAAAGAAAGGAGAGAACAGGAGAGGAAGGAAGGAGCAGTGTAAAGAGGTGCTTTGAGGGGATTGGGGGGGTCACCCACTGAGCAATAGGTGCAACAGGGCACTAAGTGGGGGTGTGGGTGAGCACCCCCTGCTCGGAGTCTCGTGTCCAGAAGGTCCACGGCTCTGAGGAAACCCCAGGGTGGCAGGGCTTCAGGAGGGGGACGGGGTGGGGGGGATGGCTCAGCCTCCTGCTGTCCCCACCAGGCTCTGGGGGTGTGTGAGGCCAACTCCATACCACCCCTTCCGTGTGTGAGCAACTCCCACCTCTGAGTGCCACAGGTGAGTTTCGGCCCCCGACTCAGGAAGCAGAAGGTGGGTCCTGCACCCATGTGGCGGTGGGGGGTGGAGGCGACCTCTGCTCTCCCAGCCAGAGGCCCCCTGACCACCAGCTCCACCCTCCACACAGGCCTCGGCCCCCGGATCCCCACACGACCCTGCTCTCTGCCCCTCAGAACCCCGCCCGGGAGCCCCAACTCCTGCCTGCGCCTCAGCATCTAATCCATTAGAACCCGGGTCAGCTTCTGCCTGGCCCCACTCACTCGCGACCTGCTCTCATCGGCGCTGCCCCGGGCTGAGGGTGGGGTCTGGATCCTGACAGTCACCAATGGCCGCTGCTCTGCTCACTCTGCTCAAGGTCTAACTGTGCATGAGCTCGGCCCTGCCCTCCGGGCGCTCACACCCAGGGCTCCCCTCACCATCAGAGATGGGACCCCAGCTCTGCTCCTGAGACCCTCCAGGGCCACATGGCCCTGGCAAAGGCCGTAGGGAGTGTGTCCCCACTGAGACCTACCCCACGGGGCCCAGACTATGACCTTCCATCCCCTGGAGGGCAACTGGGTGCTGGGGGACCAGAAACCGCTGGGGGGGCAGAAGCCCTCACTTCCCCAGCTCCCGGCTGCCTCAGCAGGAAGAGCTGGGTCTTCTGTGGCGGCAAAAACAGGACAAACAGTGGGCTGGCTCAGGTGCTGGGTACTGGGTGCCCAGGCCACAGTTGACACTGGCCCCGCCTGCCCTCACTGTCCTCAACTGGAACAGTGGAGTCAGGGGCCTGGAAGCTTCCCCACCTGCTTCCTGCCCACACCGCACACAAGCGTTGTCGATCACGCACACACCTTCACCGCCCCGTCCCCACAGCACCCTAACCCTGGGGGCCACGCGCCCACAGGCCCACGCTGGAACGCTTGGCCCCAGGCTGGTTGGCCATCCTATTCCAGCCATAACCCAGAAACAGTGCCCCTTCCTCTTATCTGGCAGTGACAGCAGCGAGCACGGAGCCTGCTAGAGACAGGGGAGTGGGGTGCGGGCTGCGTCAGTGTCCTTACCTAGATCCTCGAACAAGCTCCATGGATGCACGTTTCCAGCTTTCCCCCATGATTTTGCTAACACTTTCACACAATTCAAAGCTTCAGAAGAAAGTGGGGCTGGAGTGATAGCACAGCGTGTAGGGCATTTGCCTTGCATACGGCCGACCCAGGTTCGATTCCCAGCATTCTATATGGTTTCCCGAGCACCGCCAGGAGTAATTCCTGAGTGCATAGCAGGAGCAACCACTGAGCATCGCTGGGTGTGACCCAAAAAGAAAAAAAAAGCACAACAAAACTTCAGAAGAATGAGATAGAAATGTCAAGTGCTCTCTTGTCTAAAACTGAGACCAATGAAATCCTTAAACTTACAGAAAAAAAAACCAAACAGCAGGATGAGGAGGGAGTGGGAGGGAGTGGGCAGACACTGATAGCCACAATGATCCACTGCTTGAAAACAGCCACTTGGTTGCAGTGGGAAGGGGGCTGGGGCTGTTTTTAATCTGTAAAGCTGTCAACTTTCACTGTTAAGATTTCTGGCGAATCCCATGTGCTATGGTTCCTTGCCTCCCTCAAAGCTTAGCTGGAGTGTGCTTGGTTGCATGGGCGGGATTGTGCCTGTGTCATACACCCAGCACCTGTAACTATCCTAATAAAGTCTTAGTTCCTGGACTGGAGAGAAAAGACGTGGCTGTTCTTTCAGATGCTGCAGAATGGGCAGAGCCAAAGCAGGGTATTGGCTGTGCACGCAGAGACCTGGATTTGACCCCAGGTACCACATATGGTCCCCCGAGCTGTGCCAGGGGTGATTCCTGAGCACAGAGCTAGGAGTAAGCCCTGAGCACTGGCAGGTGTGGGTCCTCCTAAAAAATTATGGGGGCAGAGCTCTAGTACAGCAGGTAAGGCTTTGCCTCACATGCAGCTGACTGGGGTTTGGTCCCCAGCACGGCGTAGATACAGTCCCCAGAGCCCTCCAGGAGTGATCCCTGAACACAGAGCCAGGAGTAAGTCCTGAGCACTACGGAATGTGGCCCCAAGCAAAACAAAAACTAAAAAATTAAGATGCTGCAGAAGCTGTAGCCTCAGCTGAAAGTCACTGGGTCATTCGCCCTCTCCTCTCTGGAAAGAAAGATGGCGGCCACATGGGAGCCTTGTGGACAGCAGGTATGAGCCGGGAGTGTGGGGGCGACTAAAACCTCATGGGAAGGGGGGCATTCCAGTCCGTCCTTCACGCCCTACCGAGGTCAACAGTTGCCCCCCACGAGCGGCTCTCCAGCACGGCCATAGCCCCAGAAGCACAAGGGCTTAATGCAGAACCCAGCAGCTTGGAGCAGAAAAGTGAAAGGACTATGCGTTAATCCAGGCAATCATTTCTGCCCAGAGGGGAAAGGGTGCTGCTCCCTTCCGCCCTCCTCCCTCTGGAAAGAAAGATGGCGGCCACATGGGAGCCTGGTGGACAGCAGGTATGAGCCGGGGGTGTGGGGGCGACTAAAACCTCATGGGAAGGGGGGCGTTCCGGTCCGTCCTTCACGCCCTACCAAGGTCACCAGTTGCCCCCCACGAGCGGCTCTCCAGCACAGCCACGGCCCCAGAAGCACAAGGACTTAATGCAGAACCCAGCAGCTTGGAGCAGAAAAGTGAACGGACTATGCATTGATCCAGGCCATCAAGTCTGCCGGAGGGGAAAGGGTGTTGCCCCATTCGCCCTCTCCTCTCTGGAAAGAAAGATGGCGGCCACATGGGAGCCTTGTGGACAGCAGGTATGAGCCGGGAGTGTGGGGGCGACTAAAACCTCATGGGAAGGGGGGCGTTTCGCTCCGCCCTTCACGCCCTACCGAGGCCACCGGTTGCCCCCCGCGAGCGGCTCTCCAGCACAGCCACGACTCCAGAACACAGAAACCAATTTCTTAACTATCTGACTTTCAGTAGAAATACTTCCAGGGTCAATAGGTAAAATAGCAGAAATCCAAAACCAACATTTAATTCTTGAACCCAGCTGTAGAAAGCAAATCACTTCACAATGCTTTTTCAGCATGTCTGATTTGGGGGGGGGGGGGGTAAACTCTAAATAATAGTGGTGAATCTTTTATTGAAACAATGAATCTAATCAAAGCAGATAGAGTGTTAACTAGAATTCATCTGCCTCACAGGGACGGGGAGGGGTGGGGGGTGGGGTTTTATTGGGGTTCTTCATGGTAAAAAATAAGTATTGGTAAAGGGAAATGTGTTTGATATTTGCATGACTGAGACATAAACCTGAAAGCTTTGTAACCTTTCCCACAGTGATTCAATAAAAAAAAAAAAAAATGTAAAAAAAAAAAAAAGAAAGTCACTGGGTCAGGGCCTGTTGGAGTACAAGGAGCTTAGGTTTATCGGGTTGCACCTATCACAGTGCTCCCGAGTCACTCCCATTACTTTGTTTGTCTGTAAACTACTTCTATGCCCTTTTCCCCAACCAATTTTTAAGATCTCATCCTTCTTAGACACTGAAGCTGTACTGTAAATTAATATTGACTTTCTCCTCTCTTTATGTCTTTTGAATAGTTTGATGCAATGGCCTTTTTGTATAGATACAGGAAGACAATTAATATTATGCTTTATAACCTAGGACTTAATTGGCTTTGAATATTATTCACTCCTGAGCATCTGCTTTCTCAACTTAAGCCTCAGTTGCCCTCACTTCCTAGCACCCCAAAAGCAGGGTCCCGACGTGGGACTGGATGGAACCAGGGCAAGCCGGTAAGTTATGTGCTACCCTGGCATCGCGATGGGCCAGGCCAAGGTGCCACGATTCTTAACTATAGGTTAAGAGTTTGATCATAGGCAAATGCTGTCATGATCTAAAAGTAACGACGAGACTAGGACCCTGCTGCTAAGAATAGGAAAGATATCTGGCCTGAGCGCTGCAGTCTGAGATCAAGATGGCCCTAGGAGAGCAATTCTATAAGCTCAAGGTATTTCTTACTGTGTCCATACAAAATGATTTCTATTATGTATGCTTATATGTTGGTCAGACAAGGAGAGGAGAAACACATCCAGGGAAATCTATTCTAAGGTGGGTTGATCTACCCTAGAAACTGTTTTCCTGTGTGTCCTGACTAGCTTGGATAAGACTGAACCTTTCTCCCCTTCAAACTGCCTTCAGTAAATGATTTCAGTATATTGAGGCAGTTTCCCTTATCTCACAGGAACCTAGCTGGTCTTAGGTATGCAGATCCCAGGTGCTAAGCCAGGCCTGATCTTTGGGATGTAGATGCCTGGCTCCAGGCAGGCTGATCTTACAGATGTAGCTTCCAAGCTCTAGCAGACTGGTCTTTGTTGTGCTAAACTTGTAGTTTATAAAAGGTGAGGCCAGGATTACTGGCCTGCAGTTGTAAAGATACAATGTAAGGTTTGCTGCCTCAATGTTCTTTCTGTAACTCCTTTTGATGACATCACTATATTGCGCCCTTTAGAGGTACTATGATCTATATAAGGGAGATTTCAGGGCTCTCTGGGGGGACACGTGCATCAGAGAACCTGGGAAGATGGGGCTGAGGACAGAAGTTGAGAGAACAAAGGCACACATGCTTGAGAGATCCTGGGCCCTCCATGACATATATCTCTTCCATGTAATAAACTGCTGCTAAGACCAACCAGCCTGGCCCTCGTTTCCTTCCTCCGCCTGACCATCGCCCATCGACCTCCCTGAGTGGGGAAACAGCCTGAGACTACCAAACGCAGGCGGCGGGAGAGATAGGCCACTGCCGCCCCCTTGCCCATCCGTTTTTTTGTGTGATTATACAAGGGCCCACCTCATTCCCTTCCCCAAACGAGACGTTAGGGCTTCATTTCCTCACCTGCTGGAAACTGCTTCCAGCTCAGCCTTCCCCTCAAAAATTTGCTCCTTGTGATGAGGTAACGTTGGTAAGGCCCTTCCCCGCAAGTCAAAATACACCCCAAAACAAAACGTTCAGTAGTAAAGACTTAGGTGCCTGGACATATCTTGACTCACAAAAGAACTTATCTTTGGTCAAAGAGATAGTCAGCAAGTAGGGCACTTGCCTTGCATGCAGACAACCCAGGAACGCCATATGGCCCCCAGCACCGCGAAGAGTGACCCAGGAACACAGAGTCAGGAATAAGCTCTGAATACCACCAGGTGACTCAAAACTCAAAAATAAATAAAAGTTTCTCATTATATTTCCTAACCATAAGAGAAACAC